CCTTTAGAAAAATTTACAAAGCTGGTATCAATATTATCAGAGAATACTTGACTAAAGTGCTTGGACAAAGCCTCAGCCTTAGTCAAGTTATCCTCAGCCATGTTTGTCTGGTCAACTTCAAGCATAAGAGGTGGGATAGCATCACTCTTACGTGTTCTTCTCTTGATATATGAGAAGAGTCTTTTTGGGCAGCCTGGTGAACTTTTAACTAACTGGGTTTCGTAAGCTATCCTTGACTGGTGGATCAAAGTTTTACACTGGTTTCTGGTTTCACAGTATTTCAGCCGGAACTGCTGTAGCCCAGTAGAAACAAAGAGATTCCAGAACCTTTTTCTCCGTCTCAGGAGTGTTATAGCTTGTCTATTTATCCATGGTGGCCGATTTGTTGGCCTTTTAGGAACCCTCCAGGGGATGAGATCAGTGGTAACCCTCTCAAGTGTATTCTTAAATCTATCCCATTCATCTTCAATGGATGAGACAATGTTGACTGACCAGTCAGCAGTTGAAGCACGCTCCTTTATAGCCACTATGTCAGCATGCCAAACACTAGGCCGGGATTTGGGTTGAAAACTGACTAAATTGCCAGCCCTTAAGTTAAAATCTAACACCCCATGATCACTGTTTGCTAGAGGTGGATGAATAACTAGACCATCCACGTCGTCGTTGTCATGAGTAAGCACTAAGTCCAGCAAGGAAGATCCTTGGGTAGAACCGAATCTTGTACTACCTAAGACATGTTGTGTCAGGGCATTTTCCATGATAGTTAAGAGTAACCGGCTGTCAAACTTATCAGCGGATCCTGGAGATGTGACAGCTACCCAGTCTATATGAGGTGCATTAAAATCACCTAGAATAAGACAGCTACTGTGTTTACTCCATTGTTTGAGGTGATCTAAAATGAAGTCATCACACTGACAATAGGGACTTCTATACAGAACTCCAATGAGTAGAGTGCCGGTTGCAAAGCTTACTTCACAGCTAATTACCTCACCTGTCCCACTGTCATGAGCTTCAGATTTCACGGAACGAACATGTAGGGAGTTGTTGACGTACAGAGCAACCCCGCCACCTCTACGACCCTTAACCCTGTCGCTGCGCAAGCAACTAAATCCGCATAGCTCAGGTGTGTCATCTAATCCCGAAACCAGCCATGTTTCAGTAATGGCCACAATACCTGGGCTAAGGTCTTCTACTAATACACCTAGCTCGTGAAATTTGTTCCCGATACTACGTATATTAGTGTACACTACCTTCAGGCTTCCTATGCGGTCTGGCTTATCCACACAGGTCTTGGAAGCATACGTTTCCAAGACCTGACTATTTGAAAACCCACCAGTTTAAGGTTAGTCTCACCATTTTTACGTCTTGTTTCTAGCTGGGACAAAACTTCTTTTCGTTTAAGTCTGTCTTCAAGAGATAAATCAGGTCTGGCTGAAATTCCTGACCCGGCAAGGTTGTGTACATTAGCCAGTAGATGATTCCGTTCATCAGGAGAACCTAAGACTACTTTAAGCAACCTACGCTGACTAGAACATTCATCATCTCTTTTGCCTATTCTAATCAGCTTTTTAATCGATACTCCAGGGAAATTCGCTGGGAGCATCTTCCTTATAATACTACTCACTAATTTAAGGTCGTGATCGTGCCTTTTCACGGGATCAGATTCTTTGGACTCTTCCAAATTTCCAACAATTATGTTAGAGTCTAAGGAGAGCTTGTCGTATTTAGCAGTGGCTACGTCCTTTCTCACCACTATTGATGCAGCCTGGCTACAGGTGACAGACGTTTGCCTACCATCAATATTACTATATTTCTTCCGACTGCTTATTTTTGTTACCCATTTATCATCTGCCTGCAGTTGCTTCTCAGGGCTGCTGCAGTTTTTGATGGTACAATCAAGATCAGTGTCTGCACCACCTTCATGGTGAACTTCGCTTACGGTGTTCTCTGGTTCTGAGATGCTGTTTACAGCTTCCGTTTTGTTACCTTTTCGCTTACTAAGACGCTTCGAACGCCTAGTAGGTTTTACTTCCGGGGTAACTGGGATGGTAACCGCCGGTGTGATAACATTCATGATGGCACTTACTGCTTCATCTTCAGACGGGCAGTCCGTGTCACTCTTACTAGCCACGCTATCATCAGGAAGTTCCATGGCTTTAGACAGCAGTTCGTGAGCCTCCCTTATTAAGGTCATCTTTGGGGAGCAACACATTCTGCACATCCAGTGGGATGTTGGAGCAGTACAACGTTTGTATGCAGCTGGACGTAATCCAGTACACATCTTATGATACCACTTTTCACAGTTATTACACTGTATTCCATCATCTACCAAAAAGTAACACTCCGCCCTATTACATTTATGTGGTACTTTTGACATAATGAACTTCTACTGGAAACAGCCAAGACAATTTACGCAATATAGACTATATAAGTGGTTAAAATCAAAACTTAACAGACAAAAGTCAAGTTAAAGTTTTTTTTAAATGTTCTTGAAGTGAATAACACAACAAAACAGCGATTTGTCAAAAACGTGAAATACGTGAAAAAAGCGTGGTGAACAAGATGGTGTGCTTATTCAATATTTCAATTAACACCTATGATGTGCAGTGAATTCATTATTTTTACTATTTTACAACGAACGTAGAATTTGATATTTTTTGGCCTCCACAACTTTAGTAGCTGACTGATCCATAATTTCTTTTCCGTATGCTTGCATGATGTGAATTTACACAATAACAACAATACACCGATAAGATATCATTTTAAATAAATGTATTATTTTTACAGAAATGCCACGACAACGACTTCGAAGACTACCAAAGTATCATTGTTTCTTTATAAAGGTCCTTGAACAATACTCACTTGATTTCGTCTGGGATTCTTCAAAACATATTTTATAATGGCCTTAATCACCTTGTAGGTGACAAATATTGAGATATCTTCCAGAGTCTGGCAGTATATATTGATAGACCCTGAGATTCATAGCCTTTCATAGCATTATCTCAAAATAGTTCTAGCCGAATTCCCAGCTACTTCCATTTTTGGATATGCTTCTCTTATGCTGCTCACTAAAGTATTTGGTACAGGCCGAATAGTTTTAGCAACCATAGATTGTTAGATTTGTTTACTTTCTTCAATTTAATGCGTGGAGTTGGATGATTGAGTGACTTTTTTAAGTGTTGCTTTGCTGTAACGGCATGCGAAGTTCAATTATTCTTGTGTTAAGGAATTTTAACTGATTCCTTATTTAAGAACAATTTTGAAAGGCATTACTTTTTAAAAAGTGATTTCATAGTCATTATGACTTTTCATTCCCTTATGTCAGGTGTTTCTAAGACTACATATCGTGTAATAATCTGAACTGCACGTATAAAGACACTAATTGAATTGAATAACTCTGATGCCATCGTATTGGTGACTGCCATATTTTGAAGATAAGTCACATCACGTTTCATGAATGTGCTGCTGTACCAGTCTACTTATCTAATTATCGAACTTGGGCAATTTCTGAAACACTGTCTGTCTCGTCGCGGTGTCATAATTGCTGCTTGCTATTTCTATTAACGTTTTATTGGGAGCTGGTGTTAGTAGAAAACCATAAGAAAATATACAGTACTGAAACCGTATTCTATGTTCTACTGTCAAAACTTATGTCACTTCTCAAATTAGACCAAAGACCTCCATCTTAGACAATGAATGTATTCTCATTTTTGATCTGACGATGTTGAGACCGAACGAAAATATTAGAGTCTGTGAGCTTCTGAATGCATGTAATATACCTTTTTGTTTTTATATCCGTTCAGTTATGTTTCTTTGTGTGTCTGTTCGTAGAAGTCGTAAAGTTATTTGCATACTTTGTATTCTCACGGTTACATAGAAATGATGCTTTGCAAAATGCTCCCACTTTCTCTTAAACGTAGGGTCTCATTCTGTGTCCCGAGGAAAACAGAATTAAACTGGTAAGCGATGTTATTCGAGAGCAAACTGGTAAAAGCTGCGTGGTCGTTATCGGGGCTACAACAGCTGTCGAAGTGGCCAAACAACATTTCACCGAGGCAACTATCGGCTCCAAGAATCTCACATATGCACATGAAGTAAAAAGGCTTCTACAGGTAATCTTCACTATATTTTCTATCTTAAAAGATATGAGTGGAAATACAGTGCCAAGTTTCCTACACAACACAGTGGTATAAAAAGATCAGCGACTCTCATGGTAAATTTTTTAAGGAAACATATAAGCTAAAAATGTTATTTTCACTTTGATCCCCCTAGACTTCGATTTGGTATACCCAAATTTACAAATAATTATTCAATGTAAACCAGTAGCCGTGAATTTTCAGTAGGATGTTAAGATATGGGTTACAATATTATTATTTGTTCTTTACGTTCCAAGTGGAAGATAGGGCTTCAGAAGCACATCACCACTGTACTATATTGTTTTCCGTCATTTTTAACCGGGCCGTCGACTCCCTACAAGCCTTCATTTCTTCTTCACACGATCTCCTCCATATCACTGTAGGACACTCAACTGGTCAGTTCTCATTCGGATTCCATTCAACAGCCTGGGGTGTGATACCACTTGAATGTCCGTCTCGTTCCATACTACATATTTGCTCAGTAATAGGTTGGTTCACTGAGCTGTCAGAGCTTCTTGTCGCTTATGCTTTCCTGCTAGTCATTTGATCTTCAGTACCTGTTGTGGGCAGCTGGTGATAAAAATGTGCACCCGGATGTTGGAAAGGCTTTTTGTGACTGGCGCACCAAGTCTCTGAATCATATAGAAGCACTGATTTAGGATTAGTGTTAGGACTCTTGCCGACCATGCACATGGTCCGAGGTTCGTTCCCCTACTGACGCACACCAGATATCTATGGTGTCTATCCTATCTTTGTGGAATTTGACATGTTCATCCATACCTCCTGTAGTTGAAACGACGCTCCCAGATCAGGGAAGTGTAGGGGACGACTTATTTTGAATTCTTCCCATTGACACTGATTGATGCTTGTTGTTTTTGATTGGGTATCTTTTCTTCTCTATGTCTTTAGTAACCGACCCTTCTATCGAAGTAGTTGTCCGAATTACCATCTGAGGCAGTTGTGCAGCTTCAAGCTTTATTTCGAAAACACACTGCTGAAAAAAGTGAAGCGGAGAAACTTAGTCAATCACACAGGAGAGCATTCATTAATCATTCAACATCGTTCAATGGGGAAAGATGACCCTGCAAATAATAAAGACATAAATTCTACTCACTCTTCTGAATTCCATACTCACTCACTTCCTCTGAATGACCGTGGCGTTCTATGTTGTAGAGATTCTACATGTTCACACGAAGCTCTGTGTTTTCTGCCTTTGCTGATGATTTGTCAGTTTTCACCCGAAGATCTTCGAGTCTGTGCGACATGAAGCATAGGTCACACACTTGATTCGAAGCTTCTAAAGTCTTGTTTCGGCCCAATGCATTTTCGTCCTCCCCAAAGTCCGTTGGATGGTCCAGTACACCACAATCAGGAACATCAGCAGGGACACTGAACAGCCTTGTCTTTTTTCTTGTTTACACTTCGCTCTACTGTGAATCGCTTGTTATGTGGATCATCATATGACTGTTTAACGAGGTTATGTACTGAGCTTGTACCATTCACTTCCACTTCACACAAAAGTGAACCAAACATTGGACTTGTGTAGTTTGCTGATTTTTTATTCTGAATATGCCTAATCTTCCATTTTTACAAGGTGAGTAATTCGTATACTATTTGAAGACTAGTTAAAATTGGAATCTTGAGATACTGGAATTCATACAGGATGAAGAATTGTAGTTCAGCTGAGCTGGACAGTTAATCTGAGAAGGTTTCATCGCCCCACTAGGCAACATCTTCAATGCCTACTTCAATTTGAAGTGAGCTTTTAGATTTCTCCACGAGTTTATCAGTCATCTTTCCTGGTGACCTTGCATGTGGTAGGTTGTTTTTGTTTGTTTTCACACTCTCTAGGCTGCTTGTATTGGAACTGATTGTTTTCTTGACTTGATCTTTGACCCTTTGTGTGTGAGGTTTCCTTCTTATTGGTTGGTAATTTTTGTCTATCTCGATGTGTCTATTGATTGATAATTCACTGGAATACCAGGAAGTCTTCTAAAAATTCTCTAGCATTTTTGGTGTTTCCTCTGTCTAATATTTGAACGTTGTCCCAGTCGAATTGATGTCCGTGGTTGCTTGTATGTAGTGATACGAGGGAGTGTATGTGATGTCTTCTGACGGCTATCTTGTGTTCACGATACGAAGACGAAGGGGACGTCCACTTTGGCGAATGTAGTGTTTTTCGCAGTTGTTACAGTTTACTTTGTAGATGGTGTTGGTTTTATCTTCTTTCGCTGTTGAGTCTTTTGGTTGTCAGAGAATTGAGTGAAGTGACTTTGTTGGTTTGTGTGTGACGTCAATTCCTAAAGGTTTGAAAGGTCTTGTAGTGATTTCTGAGATGTGTTTTATACATGGTAGGGCGATTTTCTGGGTGCTTTCCTTGGGGGTCTTTGATTTCGTAGGTTGGCTTGTAGGTATATGTCTTTTGATGAAGTTCCGTTGATATCCATTCTTTTGGAAGACGTCCATGGACGTCTGAAAATGTTTCCTAGTGGGGCGATGGAAGCTTCCCAAATTAACTATCCAGCTCAGAGAACACAACCACATGAAAACACTGGAATTCATTCAGTTTAAGTCTGTTCAGCAGTATGGCAAAAAAGGTAGATGGTTTGGTGAGCGGTGTGTTGATTTTCGAAAATACACCTCTGATTAGGCATGCGTTTACAAGTGAAGTAAAGGCCAGTCTAGAAGTGTGACGAAGATCCAACTACATGCCTCAAAAAATAGTTCGAGAGTAGCATTTTGAAGAAGACAATTCTGAAGTTGATTTTATTAACGCTGATGCTGAATAAATATCAAATGACGGAATGTAATGTATTTGTATTTCATTATGTCTGCTCAAGAATATGTGTGCGTCAGTGGCACAGTGGTTAGGACTGTTGCCGACCATGTACATGGTCCAAGGTTCGAACAATCACAAACACTACCGATTTTCTTAAATTCTGTTTCGAAATATGTTGTCCTAAAGAAACATTATTCATCCGATTCGATCACTTATCTTCGCCATATCTCAAAAAGCTACGTAGAAATAAAGAACTGTTGTTCAAAACTAATGATAAGCCTGGTGTAAAAAAGTTAAACATGCTGATAAAACTGGAAATAAAAAGACTAAGTGTTTTATATAATCAAAGATTTTTGTCATGTAAAACCCCTTCTAATTTATGGAAACTTTTCAAAGAAATTACTAACGGTAAGCGATGTATTTCTGTTCCATCTCTTAATGTTGACACTCTTAATAAATCTTTCATACGCTCTTCTGTTGATACCCTTCCAAATGATACAAATCACATTGACAATAACTTTAGTGGTTTTAATACCCGTGATGTGTTTAAATGTCTCCGGTCTCTTAAGCCTTCTCAAAGCCTTGGTCCTGACGGCATACCTGCCATTGTCCTCAGGAATTGTGCTGATATTTTGTGTTATCCTCTTACTAACATTTTTAATGCCTCTTTTTCCGGTAATGTTCTACCTTTTGCATGGAAAAACATTAAAATTATCCCTATACCAAAACCATCTTCTGGTTCTGATATTAAATTTCGGCCTATTGCAATTACTTCCCCCTTTTTAAAATTGATGGAAAAATTACTTTTACTTCGTCTTGAACCCGCTTTGAAACCTTTTAATGATCCTAAACAATTTGCATACAAACATGGTAGAAGTACCTTGGATGCTGCGGTTGTCTTATATCACAATGTTATCTCTTGTTTAGACAAAGGTGCTAAATATGTTCGTAGTGCTTTCTTAGACTACACATCTGCTTTTGACTCTGTACCTAGGGGCCTTTTGTTAAATAAGCTATCGTTGACACAAACAGGATCCTGGGCTAAGAGTTGGTTGCATTCCTATTTTTCTGATAGAATGGAGTATACTGTATATAACGGCAAATCTTCTTCTACCTCGCTTACAAAATCCGGTGTTCCACAAGGTGCTGTACTCTCTCCTTTTCTTTTTTCTTTCTTCCTACATGACCTACCTCATTCAAACGAAACTAACTTTGTTAAATATGCAGATGATCTGACTGTATCACTGCCTATCACTTCCGAGTCTGACAGCTCCAAACTTAATAGCTTTCTGTTGGACATCAACAACTGGTCCAAGTCAAATGGTCTTATATTAAATCCTTCCAAATGTCAGGTGCTTGACTTTACTTTCAAGCATCGACGTGACTTACTTGAACTAGTTAACTCTCATGATCCCTGTAGCATAGATGGCACGGAAATTGAAACCAAATCAAGTATTAAATACCTTGGACTAGTTTTTTCCTCTGACCTTTCATGGTCATCCCATATCTTATCTATCTCTAAGAAAATGTTTCGTCTTACCTTCTACATTAAAAAGTTAAGACAATCAGGTATCAACCAACCTTTAGTTTTGCAATTTTTAAACTCCTGTATTTTACCTATTGTACTCTACTGCTCTCCATTAATCTTTCCTGGGTTGCTCAAAAAAGATTATATCATATTACGAAGAGTATTAAATGCTGTGAGTAGAGCTTGTGGTCTGCCACTGCATGAGCTGGCTAATACTATAGTCGAGAGGCATATAAATTCTTGTACGAAATGGGCAAAGGCTATAATGTCAGACCCTCTGCACCCCGTTTATTCACACTTGTCCCCTTGTATCTCATCAGGTAGGACGAGAAGTCAATATAAAAAGATATATGCTCGTACTACTAAGTATAGAAATTCTACAATACCCTATTTAGCGCGTACTTTATGTGACGAAGACTCTGTTAGACGTGAAACATATAAGTTACTATGTAATTAGCACAGTGAATCGACCCTTTTATCGTTCATCTTTCTGTATTTTATGGTGTCACACTTTCTATCGTTTAAATCGTTACTCTGCTATTTTATATTAGTTGGTATTACTATTATTACTACAATTTTGTACTTTATACATATTTTTCTCCGTATGGCAGACAGTATTTTGCTACGTAGCTGCTACAACAATCGTTTTATTACTATTATGTATTGTGTATTTTTAATTTTTTTTTGTCGTTTTTGGGTAAATTAGATGCAATATTGTACTGAATGCTGAAAATTCCTTGCTGTATCATGAGTACTGTTTTTGGAATAAAGCAATTATTATTATTATTATTATTATTATCCCCTGCCGACGCACACCTGATATCAGTGGTCGGCCTGCAAAATTTCGGCTACCGATATCGCATGTTGAAAATTCCATACTTGTACCGAAAATACAGTGTGGCGTCAAGCTGTAATCAAAATAAAACAAAAAGATAAATAAAATGTCACAAAATTCCGGGTACATCAAAAAATAAACTCCATATTTTCAAAAGGCCTAACAAATGGTACTTTCTTTATGTCAATATTTTGCCTATCAATACAGTCCGATTACCTCAAGCTTGTTATAACTCAAGATGATGTTGGCGTGGAATTGTGTGGAGCGTTGAAGAACGTCGTGGCGATAGCTGCGGGAATATGTCACGGTTTAGATTTAGGAGACAATACTAAGGCTGCCGTATTGCGTATTGGATTTTGGGAAGTATCTGAACTAATGAAAGAGTTGTTCCCTGACAGAGGTATGTTCGCATTTACTTCTATTTTTCACACCTCATTTTATTAATTGATTTTGTCACAACTTAAATGCATGTCGATTCTCTACTTTTAATTCGATTACTAATTTATCAAGTTATGTAATTGGTGACGATTGAAGATGAGATGAACATCTGGCGTAGAGGCAGGATTCGAACCGGTGGCCACCAAATCACTAGTGTAAAACACTACTAGCTAAGCTACAATACTCAGGTGTCATTCAGTTTATTATTTCACTGCAGTCACCACATGCAATACACAGTTTTATGTGAATGAGTGACGTCTGTTTGTTGTCACACTAGCTACCCAATCAGGTCTTCTCTTGTCAACCCGTATCCTAATGAATTGAAAAAATCTATTTTGAATCAACTAGTATACAAAGTGACTTTCAGTTCACTTGAAAACTAGATTTATTTTTAAGTTTTAGAATTAGAACACTATTTAATGCCAGTTAATTTAAAAATCCAACTTGAAATTTCAGCTAATGAACGATATTTTATCTCTCTGACCTTGTTCTACTTAAGGGAAAGTTGAGTTTACCTAATTCCTTGCACAAAAAATAAAACATGAATTGTCACGATTAACGTCCCACTCAAGTTCAAGTGCAACGTGAAACATTCGTTTTCGGAGGGTAAATATGCTAGATAAGTGAGATTTTAGCGCTAAATACGATACTTCTAGAATCTCTTCACTGAATTTTAGAAGACGGATTGTCTTGTTTCCTTTTATATATATATATAAACTATTTGTAAGAATTTACTATACGAATAACCTTCTGCGTGAAAACACCGGGTCTATTTCCAGTTATTCGAACAGTGAATCATATTACTTTAATTCATGTTTTATTTCAGAATGTAAACTTTATGACTGATTTCACTTGAATGGAAAGCATTTTCAGTCAATGGTCAGGTAACCGCATGTTATAGGCATCTTTAACAAAAAAAATGAACTCTGAAGCATATATCTTAAAGGTGCTGCTGAAATATCACGACCCGAAGCTTCTGAATAGATAACATAAAATGAATATAAAAGTGAACGAACGAAAATTCTTCCGATAGGTTTTAATCTATGATTATTGCCTCGCCTCTGATGGAGAAACAAGTACTGTTTTGGAGCCTTATGTTGAATGCATTTAGAGAAATAAAGATAAATATCAAGTCGGTAAATAAACTTATGAAATTAAATGTTTCTGGATCCATTTCCACTTTGTACAGCTAAATGTGTAACTCGCAATCGTTTATTCTGCAAAATTCAGGATGTAATTTGCTCATTGAAGACTAAAACTGTTTCTTAAGCAGCTACTTTATATATATAAACATGCTTAAACAGCCTTCAGATATAAATATAAGCTGCGACCTACCAGTTTCTTGAGTAATGGTTGGAGGAGTTTAACTAGCCACTTAGCCACTCCATGTTAGCTGGGATTGGACATGTCTAGGACTGGAAGTCTTGGTTTATGTACTTTTGGCAAACCATACGATCGTGAACTATTGCTTCCAGTAGGTGTAACAGAGTTATAAGCTGCCTCTGAGATAACCCCACTTTTCTTAAGCTCCTTAAGCGTGTTTGTTAGATTCTTTCCAGCCTTTCCATCTAAATCTGTTGAATTGTTGAGCTTCTTATTATCATTATAGTCATCGTTATTACTGACATTCAAAACATTTAACACTTTTTCTTATTCTTTGATCCAGGAACTCACTGTAATTCGTTAAAAGTTTCTTATATAAATCTATGTAAATTAGAGTAAAGCCTGAAGAAGATCTAATTGAAAACAATATTGTTCGCTTAAATATCTTGTTGTAAATTGATAATAAGCAGACAAAAGTTCTTTTTTCTTGATGTAGTTCTGTTCTCTGAGTAGGATGGCTTGAATGCGAAGCTTTCATTGTTTTTCTAGACAACATCCAAAGCGTTTACTTGCTCACTTATTTCTCTGAACTCGATAGCCAAATGGCAAACATTCCATCAACTCAAGGGTTCAGTTTACCAAAACCTAAGTGCACTCTTTTCATATTTAGACTGGAAATTTGTTTCTGTTAGGCACAATGAATGTAAAATTAGATATAAAGTAAATTACCATTATAGTATTAATTAAAAGCACAATTCCGTACATCATTGATTCCCTCTATCGAAGGCTTACGTTATGTCCAAGGAATCTTGTAAATCTGTACACACTTATTACTATCAAAAAGGGGATCAAAAACATCTCAGACTAATATTCATCTAAATTGGATTTTTGAAGCGTTGCATAGATTGAAACAAACACCACCTCATCTTGATAGTTGTTGACTGTGGAAAAACGCAGTTGATTTAAACTCAAATTATTGACAACTGATGTAATGAAGTATATTCAAACAATCTAGGAGATGGTCATATTATTAAGTCACTTATGGACTCATTCGTAGTAATAAAGAACTCTTTCACTAGTCGTTTTTCACAGGCATACATCATTTGAAATACCTCTATAGATTTGGGTATATCTAAAGTAGTGTGCACAGTCAAACTACTCAACATCAACAATTTCCAGTGTTAACTAATAAGAGTAGATGTCAACTGACTGACATTTTCTTCTACAAACATTAATTCATTCGGGTTGACGCAAATATAGAGAATTTATTTTGCCTGATCCATAGCACATAATGCAACACCACGTAAGGCTGAAGACAATATCTCTTTTGCACTTTAGTGTTTCGTCAATATACAAATGAAACTTCTTAAACTTATTCCCCTTTATGAATGAAAATGGGAAAGTAATTTAGCCATATGAAAAAGAGAAGACGTTCAGCGAAGAGACTCTTTTCGGCGAATTCATTCATATAGCTGTACAATCGCATTTATATTTAATTATTTGTGTGTGTGTGTGTGTATACATGAGGTTTGTCAAGTTTAGATAATTGATCAAGTAATAAAAGAATGATCTAAAATAGAAACAAGGTTAATTGGACAGCAACTAAAGTAAGATTGAGTTAGTTAGTAAGTTAGATGACGTAATATAATTGACTAAAATGTTTCAACTTATGTCAGGGTAGCAACAGAGGTCATTCTATTGTCTAATCGCCTAATTCTTTCTTCCCTTTTATTATTTCGATAGTGTTATTAGAAGATGTGGAAACTATCTGAAAAATGTGATGTATTTGCGCTGTACATTTCGAACAATCTGATCATACATGTATAGCGCTAATACATCACATTTTTCAGATAATCTCCGTCTTCTAATAACACTATCCAAATTTATAAAAGGGACTAATTGTTTTAAATTTTTTATTATTATCATGTCATAATCCTGAATTCAAATAATCCAAGTTATTTCTACATGAATTATGCCACTGGATGCCAGTTTTCTACTATCTTCCATACCAACAAGTATTCGTTTACTTTGTAAAACAATGATTTTTTGTCTCGGATTCGCGCTCTGCACTTACATATATAACATTTATCGATTCGTACAAATAATCTTATAAATTTTACTCATCTAATTATCATTTTTATACTCTTTCTCAAACCCTAACCTAGAAAGATTTACAGTTTCGTGAACTCTATAAATCAAGTGTGAACACATTTGTATGTCAATGAGTTCATGTACAGATTAATTTTCTATAACCGTTTTATTTTATGCATGTATATATATACATATATACATGCAAGATAGATTCTTGATAAATATAGTCACTAAATGTGGTAAATTAAATCTGTAGAGGTACTGGTTTGCTTAACGGCAACTGCAGGAAAGATTAGTGTGATGTATCTAGACCTTAATAGTACTGATTTAATTCATAAGTCAAGTTGCATGTTAGTTTCTAATCTAGGTGATTCGACACCATGATACGTTGTACTGGTCAACATTTAAATTTTCACAGCTTTTGTCGTTTAAAATATAATAGAGACCTGGCTATGGGCTTATTTAAGAAGATTCAGTATATTCGTACAGCTAATACTTTAGATGATTGGAGGAAATAATTGACGGACACAGCTGTTGGAAAAGGATGGCCTTTGTAGTTTTTGAATCGCTGTAGAGATCAACTAGTTTCGAAACCTACACTCGATTATATTACAAGGAAATGGTCTGCAATAAATCGCCTTACAATTAGGAAATGAATAGCAGGATTGTAAAACGAATTACATTTGTTATCCGTACTATGTAGCCCGGCTTATAATTAACACAAAAACTACAAAAACTCGGTTGACCACAAAGCAAAACAGTGCTCAAGCGATCGTGTTCCGTCATGTATTTACTTATTTTCTGTATTCCTTTGCGTTCCCAGTGGGACATAGGGATTCATGCTAGGGCTTTGAAGTTCTAGTAGCAGTGGTGTTTTATTTTTACGGAATGGGGTTGCTAGCCTCATGCCCAAATTTCCCTCTTTACCAGTCTTATTACTGGCTTAGGGAGGTAAAGGAGTCCGTCGACCGCGGAACGACCTTCGAACCACCACCGCTGTACCACCGACGCACAATTTACTTACCGATTATATACCAATTTATAATTGTTTGACATCATAAATACTTATAGAAAAGTAATCCCGCTTTGCACTTGAGGATGGGAGGGCATATACACAGATTGGCTGAGCAACAACTGAACTGTAAGACCTTGATGAACATGGGTGACACAATACCAACCTTGTTTATAGCAAAACATTTCACTGATATGAATCACAAGATTGATATCAAAACGTTTTTTCAAGGTTACAAAATTACTTTAACTGACCTCGGAGTGTGTTAAAAATCGAGATAAAAGATTTTTCTGGATGTTTCGCAGTGCAAGCCACAACTTCTTCGGCAGAAATACTTGGGTTTTTCTAAGTATCAAAACACACAGTAAAAAAACTTCACTTCAGTTTATATAATTTTTGACCATCTGCTTTGATGATGAATAAAATCTGAGTAATTCCACCCAACAAGTTGTGGCTTAGAAACCGAAACCTTTAAAAAAATTATCTTGTTTTGATTTGATGAACACTCTGCGATCATTTTGAGTACTTTTTAATGGTTTAGTCTGACTCAGCGCTCAAATTATTATAGGAAATCGGTAATATATACGGCCTGAATAGTTGTAGTCTTTCAAGATTATGTATGAAAGCAATCACGGGTGTTTACTGAGATAAGCAGAGGCGGTAGCTATACGCGTGTTTAAAGGTAATAATAAATTACCTTTAAACTGTCGTGATTACATTACCAAAAGTTGTGCTAATTATTTCCCCTCATATTTTTAAATCTCTTATTATTTTGTTTATTTTTGTTGGCTTTTCGTTTTTCGTGAAAATCTGATTTGACAAGTAAATGTGTTATCAAACTGTTCGAAATGCAACTGCCCCAATACACCACATATTTTGGATAAACTCTTTCTTTTAATAACGCTATTCCAAAGTCTACTAACTGATGATAATTGATAATTTGATTCCTAGTTTAGCGTTCATTATATCAACTACCAGGTGATATCTTCGAATATGCTCAGGACATGACCTGTCCGTCTAGTTTGACTCTGTAGACTGTCTTTAATTGTGAACTATAATCTCTGTGATGACTATGAAAGCAGACAGCAATATTTCAGATCTCATGGAAACAACGGATTTCTACAATGTTGTTAAACTTCAAAGTGTTCTAATACGTGCCTCTCGTTAATTTCCTTCATATTGTTAAATACGTTTTAAAGTATAAGTTAGATTTTCGCATATAGTACTGGTTTTCAGAGTGAACCTCCTTATAGTCAGAAAGGATAGTTAAAATTAGACTGAAAGCTGATGATAGATCTTTTCCTGGAGCTTCTATACTACTAACTAGATGCACGAGAGGCTTCACTGATTAACTTCAGCCACTATCTGCTTACTTCAACTTTCATATGAATTAAGTATACATAGCTGTTTAGAATACATAAAATCAGCCATTTGGGAAGGTCTCATCTCAACTGCGAGTCAGCATGCATTAGAAAATGGGCAGAAATTGGTTGATCAATAAATAACAATTAAACCATCTCTGTCAAGTTCACTGATCATAAGTGAACATTGAAACTTGTTGAATTGATTGAATATTAGATTATTTTTTTGAAAAAGAAATACTAACACTACTTTTATTGTTACTTATTTACTTTCTAATAAATGCAGGTATAAATTATTTAACAATTGAACAAAGTTGTGGAATAGCTGAATTATTTATGTGTAAGTTGTTCAATGTGTTAAAAAAGAGAAAAATTGGTGATTTTATTTCCGAACTAACAATAATAGGAAAGTCAACTTTTCTGCTATAAGGATGAGTTGGCTTATAAATCAGTCATTGTAACTAAATGAGTGAAAAGTGTTACAATTACTTTATATTGAATGAATTACAACTAATTCTTTGATAACTGCAAACTGAATGGTTTTCATTTGATCAGGACATGATCGATCAGTAGGATTTAAACTGCATTAGTTTTATCGAATTCCATTATGTGTATATGTTAACAGCACTTGAATCAGTTAAACGAACTTCAACATCCAGTCTAACCTAATCTGCCTGAATGTGCAGATTTGTCATTCGTTTTTATGCGTTAACCTGATTACTGCGTGCTTAACTTCTCGATATATTTTTGTTTCAGGATTAACTTAGTAACTGACGGAGGCTTAATTCTGATGTAGTCTCTATGAAAAACAGATTGTACTCGTTAGTGGAAAATCAATACGATAAGCGAATATCTCTGGCTTTAGTGATCTCTTTTCATGTTCACAAGTAAAATGAAGCTTCCGGTCCAACATCCTAACGTTAACGTGATATTGAGAAACCTGAAAGAGTCAATTTACACCTCTTAAATAGACGCATTTGTCTAAGTAAAGGTGTGATGTATCGATTGCACTGTCTGATTTCTGTTGCTTCATTGATTAATATCGACTATGGAGGAAAATCTCCAAGCGGATCAGTTCTGCATGATAAACATGTTACACAGCCCAACCTTGTGTGATTATGCTCAAACTGAAGACTTTGGGTTCTAAATAGTTTACCAATAATTTTCCATTATTTATTTGAAAAAAAGAACTATGGTATACAAGATGGTGTGACTTGATACTCAGCGGGAAAAATGTTTTCAGGGTATTCATAATTAGTATTTAAAGAAATGACACTATATTTTAATCTAGATAATTTGAAACACTGTCTTTCCAACGCATAATGCATGTAGTACATCGTGTTGAGGT